CATTCTCCACCAGTTAGTGACTAACTGACACCATCAGTCTTTTCCTCCCAAAGTTTGAATGTGAGACTTCCGAAAAACGAGCAGCTTGCTCCAGATGACATATAAAACAAAATAATTTTTTGAGGTCAGATAAAAAGAAGTTATGGAGAAGGATAGAAGCCATTCAAAGAAATCATGACAGTGCAAGTAATCTAAATTAGGAAAATTGTATATAATTCCAATGAAAGCCATCTATCCATTCTGGAGGGTACAGTGGAATCAGAAAAAAAAGGTGTTTCTGGCTATATAAACTGAAGTTATATATTGAACTCTGTTCCAGTTCTAGAAGCTATGTAAAATATTCATGTAAAAATGTTCCATGTAAACTGGGCCACGTAAATGGTTTTGTGATTTTATTTTCCTTTGTTTCTTCAAAAATAAACTTCAATCAAGTGACATATCCAACATTTGTTCTTATTCTCTGAAATACGAAGTTAGACAACTAACACAGAAAATCTAAACTTAGTGGTGGTCCTAAAAATCTTCACATTTGGTTTGGAAAGTGTCTCTGTATTTTCTACGTGTTTCACATTTGAAAATTCACAAACAAAATATATGAAGCCTACATTCTGCATGCCTGTTCAAAGGCTGAATTTTTGCTGAAAATTTTCCTCTTTTTGAGGTTATTTCACTACTAGCCACCCATGTTTCTCACAATTCAATTATGTTTTCCTTTAAAATTTTTATCTACTTCTGGTTAAGCACATTTCCCTAAAAGATGAACCATCAAGAATCTTTCTTGCACATTTCAAGAAGTTAATAAAAACAACATATAGAATTATAATGCCAGCTTAAAGTATTATAGGTTCAAAAACACAGTTTGCATTAAATAATCTATAATTAAAATACACAATAAGTTTCCTCTTATGTAAAATAATATATTGAATAAAAACATAATTCTTTGTTTAGAACTTTACCTTTTAAGGCACTTTTGGGCTTTGGCTTCAAGTTGGCCCGTGGGCACATTTCTATAACTTCTATAGATAACATTCTTCAAGACATCAAAAAAATAATAAGCAGTTTCAGTAGTACTAGCATTATTCACAATGGTAATAGCAATAGTAGCTACTTTTATAAGACATTACTACTTACTGAGTATTTAATTTCTATTAGTTCATTTTGTCAGCATAATAATATTTTGAAGTAGATTTAATACAAAGTTTATTTTACAAAGGAAGAAACTGAGGGTTAGAGAGATCTGTGACTTGTTTTAATCTTAATATATGGACTCTTAATAACTGTAAAAATAACATAGATATTAAACCCCAAAGAAAAAATAAATATTTAATATTCCCTACTCTCTGAGGTTAAGAATGGTATTCCATAAATTATTTGTTTACAAACTGAATCCAGTGGAGATAGCAATATTAAATGTGAGCATTTTCTTTCAGAACTTTTAAAAATAATCTGAACAGGAGCGCCTGGGTGGCTCAGTCGGTTAAGTGTCCGACTTCAGCTCAGGTCATGATCTCAGGTTTGTGGGTTTGAGCAGCTAGCTCAGAGCCTGGAGCATGTTTAAGATTCTTTACCTCCCTCTCTCTGACTCTCCCCTGCTGAAGCTGTCTCTATCTCTTTCTCAAAAATAAATAAAACATTTAAAACAATAATCTGAACAATTGCTAACACAATTATTCACCAAAAAATAAAGAAAAATGTAATCATATTTTTAAAACCATTTGTAAAATTTCAAGCACTGAAAAATTTTAGTATTTTGGTTTTTTATTGTATTTGTGTTTTGTTTTTTTAGTATTTTAGTGCCTCAAGGGCACTGACAACACTGAAAATTCAGACATAAGACAGGATTTTGTAACACTCACAGGAGCATAGCCTCCTTGGACTTGCCTTAATGTTGACATTCTTTAGTTACTTTGAAGAAAATGCTTTGTAGTTCTAAGGTCAGGATATTGGTCAACATTAAATTTGACCTAATTAAGAGAAGATTACACCAGATCAATTTTATTATCTTCTATGCTAAAGAGATAGTCTTCAAAGGAAAACAAAATATTATAGATTTTTTTAATTGTACCTGAGTTAGACTTCTACTTTCAACCTATAATCCAATTAGCAGTTAAGTACGAGATTTATGGATCATCCTCCAAAGAATCCTTGTAGTCGGATAGAAGTTTCCCTAGGGGTTGCCTAAGGAACTAGGCACACAGGCCCAGAGATGAGCCTCTGGACTCTCTTTCATGGTTTCCAGTACAACAGCTCTGTTTTTTTGTTTTTTTGTTTTTAATCTGTTTTATTTTTTGGCCATAAAGTGTGTTTGAAGGAAGAATATATCTACCTCAAAATTCAGGAAACATCTTTATAAACCACACACTTGCCAATATGTTCTTAGTTGGATGGAACATCAGATTGTAAGGTCTCCTAACACTATGATGCTTAACTGGAGCTAATAACAGAGATTACAGTCAGAGGATGGTCCAATATAATTCAATATTTTTATTAGTAATCTAGATGAAGGAATTTAGATTACAATCTCATGTTTCTAATTAAGGCTAATTAGGTACAATCATAACCAAATTTAAAACCAACTGATAAATTGTATGAAGAATCATTTAGAAATATAATAAACTTTAAATCTGGTATGAGATTTATGACCCAAGCAAACATATCAAACCAAAACAGAGAAGGAATATATAGGCAATAACAGGGAAAATTTTAAAATAAAAGGAAATTATTGTCTATCCAATAATCACAATATTTTAGAAGAGAAAAATAAGTTCACAGCAGCTGGCAGTGTTATTAGCAATAACATATGAACAAGTTTTCCACTTTATTTGATTTTGAACAGGCCCTAACTAGAGTATGATTTTTGATAGTCTCATTTGAGAAGTTTGTTGAAAAGTTGAATAAGGACTAGTAAAGAACACAAAATACTAAATTATTCCTGTGAGGAAAAGTTAAAAGAAATTGAAGAATGTATCTTGAAAAAGAGATGACTACAGAGAAAAGTTACAGCCCTCTAAGGCTATTAGATAATGCCAATAAATTGTTCTCTTGCCCTACAGAGGACTGCTGGGTATGAGGGATACACAGAAATAATGGCAAGGTAATTTGACTTGTTATAAGTAAGCTATTTTGATAAGAAGGAAATTATTAAATACTAAAACATACAAATGGGAGGAATTAAAAACTTTTTTCATCCCTAGGTAGCTTTTTCAGAGGAAAAAATGCATTTCCCACTCTGGTTCACCTATGTTATTTCATTGGTTTAAACTTCTCACATACCCAGGGATACTGAAAACACAGGTGTTTCACTCTGGAAAGACCATTGCCTGAAACTCATGTATCTTCACTCAGTGTTCCTTTCTTGGTTCTGCCCATCCTCTCATTGGATTCTTACCAGTCTACTAGTCCACTACTCTACATGGTTAAGATCTAAAATCCTTTGTTAGAAGAAAATATTTGATAAAGGTACTTAGCAACTCAGACATAGAACTGGTACAATGCCACGGTTCCCAATCACATATGAACAAATACTTCTTGGCTGCTTGCGAATACATATATGAAATTTCTCTCTTATATGTATTATTGGCTTGCTTTCAGATTTTGCCATGCTCTGAAATGCTAGATCCTATATTTTGACGCTTCTGCCTTTCCCTTAGAATTTCTTTCATAAGCATCCATCTGTCCTGCCAGCGTCTTCAACTTCTGTTGGCCCTTTCCCTTACAAGATCCCCAAACGACTCCATTTTTATGGAATGCTCAGTGTAACCTAACTATGACATTCGAGACTGTCATACAGGTGGTACTCTGCTCGTATCTCTTTAACACTTCTAGTTCTATATTTATAATTTCACTAACAATTAAACATAGAGGCTTTCAAATTAAATTATACTCATACTTAACAAATTACACTCACATTCCTACTGAGTCTTTTTGCAAGTACCTGCCACACTGCCTAAGGGTTACTTTTGGGGGGGCACAAGAGCCTGACCCACGCCAGAGACTTTAGAAACACCTCTGAGGAGAGGTAGCCTTTAACCACAGATAAATAGGAAGACAAACTGGGTATTGTTCACCTCAGGTAAGACAATTCTGAGGTGTATTCTATGCTATCACCCAGAGTTCCCCAGCAAGATTGCACCCTAGTTGCCAGTAGTGATGTATAATTACATCTTGCTGATATACTTCCCCTCACTGCCTCATTTTTTCTGTCTTATTTTCTCTTAAATAGACTAATAGTAACACAAATCCTTACTTCATGGTCTGACTCCATGTGAACCTATCCTAAAATAAAAAACCCCCATATCTTTACATGTGCATTTTTCAGAAAATCTCCACTGTTTTTTTAAAATAAGAATTAAAAAATACTCCATATTAATATTTGAGTAAAACCAAATAATCCTTGTCTCTGTGTATGCAGTATGCCCACAATAAATGGCTCATTTTAACTCTTAAGAAGATGGCATATATTTCCCAAGACAGACAACTCCTAGATTGGGGCAGTTCAAGTGTTTACTGTTCCTGGCAGCTCCAAGTGAGATTTCTTACAGAACAGCCTGAGTCTATAATCTGGTATGAGAGGGTTTGACCATAGAAACAACCTGTTATAAACAGACACATTTTCCTAACAATTTCAATACAGTAATGAGAAAGATCCTTTCCTTTCTTTCCATTCAAGAAAAGAAAGCAAATTACTTTATGTATTTTTCTTTGGCTCCTGATCATGGTATATGACACCTCAGTGAATTCTGCACACAAGGAATCCTATCATTTCTGCACACGCAGCAGTTAAATGTGCTCATTTGCATAAGTTATAACCAAATACATAAGTGAAAGTGTTGTTTGTGACGGTAGATTTGACTTCAGGGATACATACGAATTTCTAAAGTTCTAATGGATTTCAGCATTGACATTATGAAATAGAAATAAAATATGTCTTGCAATCATTCCAAGCATTCCAGATGGTGAAGGGCATTTCAATAATTCAATGAAAAGCAAAGCAAACTTACCCGAATCATCATGACTGAACATCTGATGTCATGAATTGTATCATAGATCTTCTTTGAGATGTCCACAAATTGATCATCATCAAATACATCCAAAGAGTTTTTACTTAAGGCTTCCAAGGCGACATTCACTTGTGTTACAAACTCAGGAATTGCTGTTAAAATTAATAAGAAAGAGAAGATTGTTCTGTTTATATTTTCAGATTTCTAGGTTTAATAAAAAATATAAGATATTTTAAAATAAATATTTGATTAATAGAATTTTAATTATTTTTTGATGTAAAGAGACGAAACATTTTGGCAGGATCATTTTGGTTCTCTGAAAAGTAAAAGGATGGGGCGCCTGGGTGGTTCAGTCAGTTTAGCGTCTGACTTCGGCTCAGCTCATGATCTCACGGTGTATCTCCCTCTTTCTCTGACCCTACCCTGCTCACGCTGTCTCTCAATCTCTCTCTCTCTCTCAGAAATAAATAAAACATTTAAAAAAGTAAAAGGAATCAAAGATAATAAAATACATTTCATAGAAATAGTTTCAAAGATTATCTTTCTTTTTTACGTCATTTTTGTTTCTACCCAACCTGAGACCATATAATCATTTCTCAGCCTATCCAATATAAGTCCCAATAAATTACCAAAAACAATTGGTGTGTTAACAATTGGAATTATAAACCTGAAGATATTTAAAGAAAGAAATCGCTTGAGTTGCTAAATATAAGAAAATTTAATTAAAGGTAAAAACTCTATCTCATAGAAATAATAAAAACACAATAAACTTTCTTTTGTTAAAGATATTTTCCAATTCATCAAAAGGCGGGGGAGGGGACGTTCCAAAATGGTGGTGTAGGAAGACCCTGAATTCACTTTCTCTCATGGATACACCAAATCTATAGCTATATGTGGAATAATTCCCACTGAAAAAGAACTATAGCTAGGTAAACAGTTCTCTCCACAACAATGGATAAAAAGATAGGTAGGACAGGCAGAGATGCAACCTCCCCAAAATCCAACCCTCACAATAAGGAGGAAATTTCTTGGATCCAGAGCTTCTCCCTAAGGAGTAAGGAGTTTGAGCTCCATATCAGGCACCTCATCACTTGGGATCTACTTCAGAGAGATGAGAGGTGCTGGGTGATAAGTGAAGGAGATTTATTTGCTAATTTTAAGACATCTTCCAGAGGTGCAGGAACAACTTGATATGTTCTCTGGGGTTGGAGGTGCTGATAACACCATATTTGTTCTCTCTCTCTAGCTTGTTAGCACAGGGGGTGTGGACAACCACAGCCTCACTAAAGCCAAGGGTGTACCTACCCAAGCACTCTTCTCCAGCATTGCGAAAGCTGCAGATATATCCTGTCCTTTGCATCTTTCATGGTCTCACTAAAGCCATGAGATTTGCATCCTACTTTGGCCTCACCCATGCATACAGTTACCTCCAGAGAGAAGCTTATATGCTTATCTGAACTCCAAATACTACAACTGTAAACCAAGGGACACCTCCACATCCCCTAGCGTGGAAGTCAGCTAGGAGTCAGCTAGGGATGAATTGTAGTCCCACAGGATTATATACAATTACATACACTAAAAGCTGCTGTCTAAGGATTTGGCTTCCAATCAGCTGAAACTAGGTGCTGAGAGAGATCACTCTTTTTGGTACACTGACAGGTCTTCGCACATTCTCAAAAACTGGAACCTATCAAGAATAAATAGGTCAAAAACAACAACAACAAAATCAGGTTACTTAGACAATCACAAAAGTTCAACAGACAACCAAAGTGAAGGCAAGGTTGATTTCCTACATGAAGCTACTGCTTCAATGCTGAGAGAAGTCACTATTTTACATAATACACAGAAACAAACACAAAGGGGGAAACACAAAATGGGGAAACAGAGGAATATGTTTGAAACAAAAGAACAAAACAAAACCTCAGAAAAAAACGACAAAACAGAGATAAATAATCTATATAATAAAGGATTCAAAGTAGTGGTGATCCTCATCAAATTTCTAAAGATAAAGAAGAATGAATGAACACAATAAAAACTTCAACAAAGACATAGAAAATATAAGTGGGTACCAAAAAGAGGTCACAGAGGTAAAGAATACAAAAACTGAGCCGAAAGAATATACTAGAGGAATCCAGAAGCAGACTAGAAGAAAGACAAGAATGGATCAATAATCTGTAATATGGGACGTGAAACTCACCTCAAGGGTGCAGCAAAATGTAAAAAATAAATAAATAAATAAGTAAAGATAGCTAAAGAGACCTATGGGACAACATCAAGCAGAATATTATTTGCATTACAGGGGTCCCAGAAGGGAGAGGGGGAGAAAGAGGCAGAAATTGAATTTGAAGAAATAATGTTGGGAGACTTACCTATCTTGGAAAAGGAAAGAGATATCCAGGTCCAGGAAGCACAAAGTGTTCCAAAGAACACATAAATCCAAAGGGACCAACACCAAACACATTATAAGTAAAATGTCAGAAATTAAAGATTAAAAGAGAATCTTAAAGCAGCAAGAGAAAAACAACTTGTTATATATAAGGAAATCCTCATAGGACTATCAGCTGATATTTTAACAAAAACATTGCAGACCAGAAGGAAATAGCATGATATATTCAAAGTGCCAAAGGGGAAAATCTTTCAATTAAGAATAATCAACACAGAAAAGCTTACATTCAGAATTGATGGATAGATAAAGAGTTTTCCAGACTGTCAAAAGCTAAAGGAGTTCATCATTAAGCTGGCATTATAAGAAATAATAAAGGGACTTCTTGAAGCAGAAAATAAAGGTCAGTTAACTAATAACAAGAAAACATATGAAAGTACAACTCTTACTGATAAAGGTGAATATTTAGGAAAGGTAGTGAATTAACCATTTATAAAGGCAGTATGAAACTTAAAAGACAAAAGTAGTAAAATTAGCTGTATCTACAGTAATTAGTTAAGGGAGGTGCAAAATTTTAAAGTGTAAAATATGATATCAAGAAACATAAAATTTGTTGGTGGGAGGACTAAAACTGCAGAGGCTTAAAATGCATTCATCTTTAAGTTTCTATCAACCTAAAATAGATTCTTATATATATAACTTGTTATATGTGAACCTCATGGTAACCACAGAGCAAAAACCTATATTAGATACATTAAAAATAAAGACTAAGGAATGTAAACAAAACAGGAAAGTCACCAAACTACAAGGGAAGAGAGCAAGAGAAGAAAGGAACAGAGAGGAACTACAAAAACAGCCAGAAAACAATCACATGGCAATAAATACATACTTAATTACTTTAAATGTTAGTGGAATAAATCCTCCAATAAAAAAAGTGGCTAAAAGGATGAAAAAACAATACAGCTGCGTGTTACCCACAAGAAACTAAATACAGGGGCGCCTGGGTGGCTTAGTCGGTTAAGCGTCCGACTTTCGCTTGGGTCATGATCTCGCGGTTCGTGGGTTCGAGCCCCGCGTCGGGCTCTGTGCTGACTGCCAGCTCAGAGCCTGGAGCCTGTTTCAGAGTCTGTCACTCCCTCTCTCTCTGACCCTCCCCTGCTCACGCTGTCTCTCTCTCTCTCCTAAATAAATAAAAAAATATTAAAAAAAAAAAAAAAAAAAAGAAACTAAATACAGATCTAAGGGAAAACAGACTGAAAATGAAGGGAAGGAAAAAGGTATTCCATGCAAATGGAAACAAAAGGAAAGCTGGTGTAACTATACTTATATCGGTCAAAATGGACGTCAAAACAAAAACTGTAATATAAAACAAAAAATAATAAATAAATGGTTGTTACATAAAGCTAATCCATCAAGAGGATATAATATTTGAAAATATTTCTGCACCAATGAGGAACTCCTAAATATATAAAGCAAATATTAACAAACTTAAAGGGAGACCTTGAGCAATACATTAACAGTAGGGGACTTTAATAACCCTACGTATGTCAATGGATATTGACATCCAGAATCATCCAGAAAACAAGTAGATAGATGATGATAGATAGATAGATAGATAGATAGATAGATAGATAGATAGATAGATGATAGATAGATGATAGATAGATAGATGATAGATAGATAGATAAAACAGCATTAACAGCATATTAGACCAGATGGACCTAATAGATATATACAAACATTCTACCCGATCGCAGGAGATATACATTCTTCTTGCATGCACATGGAGCAGTCTTCAAGATGGATCACATGCTAGGCCACAAAACAGGCTTTAATTAATTTAAGAAGAATGAAATCATATCAATCAACTTTTTACCACCATGATGTGAAACTAGAATTTCCTCAATTACAAGAAGAAAACTGGAAAAATCACAAATATGTGGATATTAAACAACATCCTCTAGAACAGTCAGGGAATCAATGAAGAAAGCAAAGCTTAAATTTAAAAAAAAGCATTGAGATTATAAAACAGAAATATAAAAACCCAATATCTATGGGACACATCACATTAATAAAAATCATGATCATCTCCAATAATACACAAAAAGAATTTGATAAAATTCAAAATTTGTCATAAAACCCTCCACAAAATGGCTATAGATGGAACATGAATCAATATTAAATAGTTCATATATGAAAAACCCATAGTAAACATTAGACAAATGATTAAAAGCTGAAAACTTTTCCTCTAAGACCAGTATTAAGACATGGATGCCCACTCTGACCACTTACACTCAACATATTATTCAAAATCCTATCCAAAACAATCGGACAAGAATAAGGTATAAAGGCTCCCAAATTGTCAAGGAAGAACTAAAATGGTCACTCTTTGAAGATGACTTTTTATAATAGGTAGAAAACCCTAAAGTCTCCACCAAAAATATGTTAAAGCTAATTAATTTAGTAAAGCTACAGGATACAAAATAAATACACAAAAATCTGTTCTATTTCTCCACATTAATAATGAACTAGAAGAAAGAAAAATTAAGAAAACAACCCTATTTATAATAGCACCAAAAAAATAAAATACCTAGGGATAAATTTAATCAAAGAGGTGAAAGGCTTATAATACACTGAAAACTATAAGACATGATGAAAGAAATTTAAGATGACACAAATAAATGGAAAGATAATCCAAACTCATGAATTTCAAGAATATTGTTAAAATATCCATACTATCCAAAGCAATCTATGGATACAGTGCAATTCCAATCAAAATTTCAG